TGAGAAAGCAAGGAATTCAAGCGGTCGAGTAAGAAATAATAATTTGGTAAAAGCCTATAAAAATATGATTGGCATTACAGAGAACAACAAGAAAAGTTTACTTTCATTATTTCAAGAAAAGACAAAAAATAAAAACACTGCTGTTCCAAAAATTTATAAGGACTATTACTCGAATCTATAGGTTAACTTACAGTTTATAAAATATTTCCACATTTTATTTCAGTTGTGTTAATTAACATTAAATTTAATAGGTGTTTCATTTCGTATTTTGCACTTAAAATTTAAAGAAATAATGTCACAAGTCAAATTTTTTGTTTTTAAATAGCCAAAAAAACTTAATTCGAAAAAAAAAATTAAAATCTTCGGTAGAGGTTTATATATTTACCAAGCTCTTTTAAATTTTCTTATAAAGGTGTTCGCAAAATTCTAATTATAGAGTCATTATTTCCTACAAAGATTATTGAAAAGTTAAAATGTGATTTCTGAAAAACTTTGTTTTTTGAGTTATGTCATTGTTGTTTCGAATGAGCGATATAGTCCATTTTCCTGTGTTGCCTTCTTTTGACTGGCACTCAAAGTTGATCCACACAGGTTGCTTAAATCTCGGCATATTTTACGTGATGAACATGAACTAAACACCAAAAAAACACACTAAAGACTAAACCTCACTTCGACAGTAAACGCATCGCGCTGAATTGGCCAATTGCATCAGGATGACTCATGCGTCTGCCGCCATGCAACGTATTTTCATATATAATACCATAAGTAGTCGAAGTATTGTCGAATATTTTTGAGGTGCTGTCACGAATGCTAGTTAGCAGCAGCTCAAAAATAATCTACAAATACTTCGACTACGAATGGTATTCGGAGGACTATTCAATGAATCAAAAGAAAAATTAAGCATAATTAACCCACGCGAATGTATTTCCATGACAACAATAAACGTCAAAATAAATTACGGAAGTTGCTTTTTATTTTGCTATTGATTCTATTCGAACTTTTGTGCTCCAAGCTAATTCGTTATGAGTGATTAAATTAAAAGATGTGGTGATAAGTCGGTTGTCGAAATTGATTAACAAACTAAGAAGAATGTTCCGGTTAATACGACAAAATTTCGCGCCATTTCACTGGTGGAAGTTTGACAAATGTCATTGAATAATCGCATTGAATTGTCGCTGAAATACCACACGTGAAATTATCGCTGAAATACCACACGTGAAATTATCACTATAATTCGTTCCCATTGGCGCAGCAATTTGAAACCGAGACATTTCACTGGTTGAAATGTGACAAATGTTAGATGAATTGAATAGTCATTGATATTTATCATGATATATATCGTGGATATATACCATGAAAATATCTGCCATCCCTGCTTTATACCAAGCGCCTAATATTTTGAAAGCAATTGATATATGCTTGACAATTTGTCATGCATTATCCCTCAGAGTGCGAGCATATTTGGTTATTTATACAAAGAGCCATTTTACCAACTAAATACCGAGTTCGATAATTCTCCCGGTATTAGAATATAGATAGCAAACAAAGTTATTCTTAGAATAAAGTAAGAAATTAGACCGTATCTTCTTTTGTTGATATATTTTAATAAATATGCAGTGCGTTCATTGTAATAAAAGGGTAACTAGCAAACAAATGTTTTTAAACCATTCATCAGCATTGTAGCCAATGGACTTGTGGTAATATCCTTTGTGAAAGAAAATTCATCATTGCGGAGACACATTATGGTTTGTGAATCAAAAAATTATCACCCTAATAACAATAAATTGGAAATTTCTACTACAAATGTTGATGTCAATATTGATGAAACAAGGTGTGCAGAGTCTTCAATCACAGAAGTAAATGAAGGTAATAAGTGTACCCAACGAAATTAAATTTTTAGGACTCACCTTTGATAGGGAATTAAGATGGATCAAGCACTTGGAGAACCTACTAACATCAAGTAGGAAATCGTTAAACGTTTTAAAAGTACTATCTCACCTCAAATGGGGGGCTCATCCTAAATCCCTTCTCGATATATATATAAGGCATTGATCCTGTCACGCATTGATTATGGGTGCTATAGTTATTCCACGTTGCTGAGTAAACTGGATAAAATTCAAAACCTAGCAATTAGGTATTCCCTTGGGGCCTTTCCCACGAGTCCCGTCAGTGCTCTCAACGTCGAAGCGAATATTCTACCGCTTGCTCTTCGTCGAAAGCAGTTAATAGTCAACTATTATCTGAAAGTACGTCTGAACGATAAACATCCAAATTATAATTTAATGACCAATAGAACAAGACCTACACGTTTATATAAAATTCAAGGAGAAAGAGCAAGACATGTGTAGAGGAGTTACATTTGCAGTATGGTAACATTGTAGACCTCACGAAGGTGGCTGTGAAGCGAAGTGTGTATGAGCGCTGACAGAAGCAGTGGACGCGGACCGAAGAAAGGTGTCAAAATTAAATTCGACCAACCAGAAACTTCAGCGTTTAACAAACTAAAACAAGCGTTAATCACAAAACCAATACTTATTTACCCAGATTTTAATAAACCATTTATTTTAGCAACCGATGCCAGTAATACAGGCGTAGGATGTGTTTTAAGCCAAATTCAGGAAGGATTCGAAAAACCTATAGCGTACGCAAGTAAAAATTTAAATAAAGCAGAAGCAAATTACAGTACAACGGAAAAAGAACTGTTAAGTGTCATTTTTGGAATTAAACATTTCAGATGTTATTTGTATGGTAGAAAGTTCACTATTGTTACAGATCACAGACCCCTCAGGTATTTATTAAATTTAAAGGACGGAAACCAACGACTACTAAGATGGTCATTATTAATTTCAGAATATGACTTTGATATTATACATCGACAAGGTAAACTTCACGGAAACGCAGACGGTTTAAGTAGAGCTTTTGAATCAACAACTAGCACGGATGACAAACGGACAGATAACCAAATAAATGCAATAACTAGACAAAACAAACTAGACGAAATCATTCCGATTTGGGATAGGGAATCAATACTTAGAGAACAACAAACTATTATTCAGAAAATTCAGTCAGGAGACAACGACTTTTACTTAGACGCAGACAAAATGATTTTCAAGAATGAAAACGTTCAGGATAGATTAGTAATACCAAATTCGTTAATATTAAAAATTATAAATGATTACCACTCACTACCTATTTTCGGACACCAAGGAATAGCTAAAACCCTTTCAACTATTAAGCATAGATGTTACTGGCCTAACATGACGAAACATATAACAGACTTTGTTACGAGATGCCATGAATGTAATAGGAGAAAAACATCACCACATTTATCTAGAGCACCTTTACAAAATTTTCCAGAATTAAACTATCCATTCCAAAGAGTATTGTAGGTCCATTACCAACGACAGACGAAGGTAACAAATATCTTTTAACTTTTATAGATCATTTCTCAAAATACGTAGAATTAACACCATTGCCAAATCAAAAAACAGAGTCCATTGCAAAAGCTTTCATAATAAAAGTTATAACTCGTCACGGAACCCCTGAAAAATTATTAACAGATCAAGGAGCAAATTTCATTTCAAATTTAATGAAAGAATTATGTAAAGAATTAGGCATAATAAAATTGCAAACCACAGGTTATCATGCAATGGGAAACGGGGCACTCGAACGAGTACACCGAGATATAAAAAATTTCTTAAGTCATTATGTAAACAAACATCAAACAGATTGGGATCAATTTAGCCCATACTTCGAAATGTCCCATAATTTCACTATTCATAGTTCAACAAATTTTAGTCCTTATTTTTTAATTTATGGTAGAGACCCAAAATTTCCAATAGACAAGACCCTAGAGCCAATTAGGAAAAAATACGACATAGATTCAAATTATTGTTCAGAAGTTTTAACTAGATTAAATATAGCATTTAGAGAAGCCAGAGAAAATAATAAAAAGGCCACAGAAAAATACACAAAACATTACAACAAAAAATCAAAAATTCTCAAATTTAATTTAGGAGACTTAGTTTACGTTTACGAACCAGCAATTCAGGTAGGCACAGCGAAAAAACTACACAAACCATGGACAGGACCATATAGAGTCATAGAAATTTTAAGCGATGTAAACTATAGAGTCAAATTAGTAAACAAAACAAAAGAATTGGTAATTCATAGAAATCGACTAAAGCCATTTTACCAAACCCCAAACCAAAACCAAATATTAACAACACAAAACAGAAAACATTTTAATACATTTGACGAACTTTGGCCACAACCTTACACTAATGATAATTACAATAACGACCCGTCAAACATAGCTTCACACATACTATTAGGACAAAGTAGGTTCCAAAATCAATATACCCCAAGGAGAAATTTTAATAGAATCCCAGACAAGAAAAGAAAGGCTTCACCCTTACACAATTGGAGACCAACAAAAAGAAGAGAAGTATACGGACAGGTTAACAGACAAACTCAAAATTTATTGCGGGAAAATTACAGACAGTTTAGAGATATAAACAATTATGGATCTAGATATTCTCAGGGAGTAAGAAGATCGAATAGAAGGAGATATTAAAATTAAACCACATACCAAAATTCTTTTTCTAATTTTTCAAAATTTCCAAAAATACTATAAAATTAATAAAAAGTATCAACAAAATTCAATTTCATAGTTGAGAGAAAAAAAAAAAAAAAAAGGAGATTCAATACATATTGCGTAAAGGAATACTAGTTATGTACGGAGTGAGCTAACTAGTACCAGTCAAGAACATTTAACAATTTGGATGTTAGAAAACTAATATTGTAAATTACAAACACAATCTAACAACTAACTTGTTATACAAACTAACTAATTTTTATAATAAATAATTATACTTATACTATGTTACTTAAGTCAAATTAATTGTAATTAAATAAGTAGGTACCTATACTTCATCGTTTCATTTTATTATATTTTATTATTTACAGTCAGATTTTAATTACGTTATTCATTATAGAAAATGAAACTACTCTCGGGGATACTAACCTTAAGTGGAATCATAACCTGTGCAGCGCTCATCGCATACGATTGTGAAGACAGCAAGGCAAATATTACGGTAATAGCATTAGGGGATGTTGCACCATGCCCAGATGAAATAGAAGACTACGTAGAAGAAACGGTCAAAATTCAAGTTATACAGAAAAACAAATATACACTACAAAAAGTACAAGCATGTCTGGTAGAAGTACTTAGACACATACACACGTCAGCAGTAGAGAAAGGCCTTTCCAGCTACATACACGCAATAGGAGCGGAGGAATGTCGCACTATGCATCGATACAGAACAATTCAATTATTCAACCAAAATATTGGAAACATTATAATCAACGGCACTATCACAGCAGCAATTACGATAGCTGGAGCACTAAACACAGACAGCACGTGTGAAGGCATCACCTACACGGAAAATGGGTACACATGGAAGAAGGTAGTAATTATGGGAACAATAAAAATAACCACGAGAGAATATTATGCAACAGTCATATTAGAGGAAAATTTAATAAGTTTAACCACGGGAATAACTTGCTCATATCTACAAGCATATTGTATCGACTCAACTTATGGAGAAACAACATGGGACATCAACATAGCTCAGTCATGCGAGGACAAACTCACAGAGCTATATTCAGGGAAAGCACAACAAATTACAAACAAGCAAAACCCATTCGAAAAATTAATCATAGTAGACCAAGAAGAAAAAATTTTCGCCTTTGCACTGAAAAGTAAAGCTATCATATGCGACGCCAATGGATGGTACACGGAACATCCCCAAATCATCATTATCATCAAAACAAATTCGACAACCCAACTTTTGGCAAGAAGCAATCTCATTCCGCAAAATACAAACATGTTCAGCTACATAAACAGCAAACTGTTATACGTCGAACAAAGCAACAAACGAGAAATAAACAAGGTCTACAGGAACACAGCCCACCGACGATGTGAACTCCATAGAGAAATAATAAGGAATCGATTAAGTTTAGCACCACTCACACCAAATTCAATCAGCACACTTATAAAACAAGAACTTGGATATATAGCAGCAAAAATGGGAGAAGTATTATACATCATGAAATGCACACCACGGGTCGTCTACCCAAGGAAAACAGAAACATGTTATCAAGAACTACCAATATGGAACAACAACCAATCCAAATTTATGGCGCCAATTACACACATAATTCAAGCATACGCTCAACCAATCAATTGTAACCGAATAACACCCCCCATATACCTAATTGACGGAACATGGACAGCTATAACACCTGTACACATTGAAAAGAAACCCCCCACATATTTACAAGTAGACGAAGGAAAACCCTTACAACTGGAACCCATCCAACAAATAGGAGAGAGAGGTCTATACACACAAGAGGAAATTACCAAAATTCAGGAGCAACTAACATTTGGAAACGAAAGAGAAGCAGTAGAAAACATAATAATTCGGAAAATCAAAGGCATGGAAACCAACTCAATGGGATACTCAACAGTACAAATTTTCGACATGGAAGAAATGAAACAATTAACTTCATCAATTTTAACACAAATTTATGGTTGGTTCGCAACATTTGGACAATTTTTCTCAGGAATCATTGGCATATATATCGTCATCCGTATCATCAAGTATGTATTTGGAGTCATGTTAAACGGACTCACAATTTACAAAACCTTTGGATTCGGCATACAATTAATAGCAAGCGTTTGGAACACGTTAACTTTATGGTTAGTCCAAAACTAAGCAGAAAAGCAAACAAAAACCTCAGCGGGAAATCCTAATCGCAGAACCACACAATCAATCTATCCAAAACAATCAACCCATTCAAATTAATAATACAAACACCTCACCAACACATTGGACAAACTAAGAAGACAAAGCCAAAACATCATCATCCTCAAGGCCAGCAGATCAAATGGACTACAATTTGAATAATCAGCAGAATAACCAGTGCGTGAGTGAAACGAGTGCGCGGGAAGTCAATTTTCAAAAAATTAGTGTATATATCCGAGAGTAAAGTAAAGAAAAAAAAAAGACATTATAGGGAATTAGAGACAGTACTCAAGGGAAGTTCAGGATATTAGTTAGACTCTTCAAGTCAAAGAATTTTTGTATTTAAAGGATATGTAAACCTAGTTAGTTAAACAAAAGCTTACTGAAGCAAGCTTTTGTTTCCTAAAGGGGGAAGGAGTATAACGCAGGGCCTATAAAGACATTTATAAAAGTAAATTTCGTAACAAGGGAAAAATGCAAAATTGAATGTGGCACAAGTAGAATTAGTCAAGAGGTGTCGATATAGGAAATTGCTTATGAGGCGGTAAAAAGGTTGAGGCACCTCGTGAGCTAGAAAAAAATGAAGTCAGTAGTGATTGGGTTGTTGAACAGAACCGACATGGTAAGTCCCAAAGTTTATTAGTTTTCATTGGTATTGTAAATTGTAATTGGTCCCTGCGTTTCCTATTTCTACCTTGAAAATTTCTTTATGTTGATGTTTTAATACCCCTGTAAACGTTTTGGAAGTTACTTCAATATAGCACAGGTACTCCCTAGCATTCCCTAACGTGCATTATTGAAATCCCTACTCAATAACACCTTTTGCTACCAATACCGAGAGAAACACCCCTTAAGGGTTACAATGGTGGCATAGATGTTACAACATCATTGAAAAGAGTTAAACCAAATATTGGGCCACTATTTTTACTAGACGTGGAACAGTTGCACTCGACAAAGCTGTATCGGCTCCGGTTGAGACACACTGCTCTAACGCAGTTATTTGCTGAAGGGTGAAGTACCACCCTTGTGTAATAGATGTGGTGCCAACTTAACACCTGAGCGCATACTCTGTACCTGTGCAGCGTACCAAATCTCTTTAAAATTAATGTGATATGGGAAACCAATTTTTCTAGTCAGGATTGCTGTCAAAGAATATTAAGATTCATACGGGGTATCGGAATTTTGAATGAACCGTGATAATCTGTGATATTAGTATGTACGTAAATGTCGCCTAGTTCTTGTACGTCTATATCTTTGTCTATAGGGCGATAGGCAAATGGCCTCAGCAGCCGAAGCCTTAGGTGGGGTTTTAGTGGGTATTCCCAGCAAACGGCTTGCAGAGTGTGCATAAGATGCATTTCTCCACTTATACAAAAAAAAAATCCTTTAAATTTAAATACTCATGACAACGTTTTTCATTATTATTTGCAGTTTATCTCAAAATTATATAGCAAATCAGTTTTCACCCGTTCTATTGTCCAGACAGTTGTCGAAGATAGCTTTGAGTTATTAACTCAAGTCATGCAAGACCAAATAAAACCTCTCATTACAAACATGGATGAAGTTGTACAAAATGAAATTTTGAAAAATTCGCTTCCAGCATCTTGAAAATAAAGAGCATTTTCCATTTGGAGCAGACAGTTTTCACATGATTCCGTGAACAACCACAGGAGTGGTATGCCACCGGTATACAGCGTCTTGTGAAGCAGTGGGATGCCTGCTTTTGTAGTAATGGCAATTTTGTTTAGCCTTATATGTAACACCGCTCGAACGTGTATTTATTGAACCTGCCTCGTAACATGCTACCACTACAAACCACAGACCAAGTTAATGAGGCAGAAAATTTGCTTCAAGATGGACCTCATTTCATTGGTGAGTGAGTACCTACAATAATATATATTATCTAAAAATGTTTAATATTAATTCATTTTAGATACGCTTATTGTACGTAGTAGGTGGTGATACATTGCTAAGACTGTAAATCTCATTATGAAGAAGCTATTAAATCATGAGGTTTCGGTTTTATATTCCGGTGTTTGGGAAAAAACATAAACTTCCTTTTTGCACCTTAAAAATGTATCAAGCTGTCCAAGGTATTTTCATGTATAAAAAAATGTGCTAATATCTTGTGCGGCTGATCTTAATCTATGGGACCTGGATTACTAGAAATGCAGAACTATTAGAAAACTTAATAAATTTGTTTATTCTTCATGCATCTACTATTTAGCATTCATTCTTTTGTAGCAAGAATAGTACCTATAGGCATCGAATAAGCACCTTAAAGAAGTATGACGCCCGTGTTAACTGATGAAATAAGAAAATCTCCCCAGGATTCTGTCGTCCCTCTGTTGTGGGGGAAAGTGAACCACAAATTTAAAGCTGGTTACCGACTTCTTTACTTTACTTCTTTAACATTCCAACGTTGCCAGATTTTTGGCAAGCGCTTTGAGTTTGAATAAACTAGATTAAAATATTGAATAAGCTTTTATTCAATGCCAATAACAATATTATGTAAGGGAGGATCAATCTGAAATGTAAAATCATAAGGAACAATAAATAAAGTAAAAAATGTAGTTTAATCTAATAAGAAAACAACAAGAACTGTTCTAAGAAACATTATCTTTACATAATAAACAATCAAACTTTACATAGCTCCATATCGCACTATGTGGGCAAGAGTATCGCAAATCTAAAAAACAAATTAACGAGTAAATCGCTCTGATACAATTTCCGAAAACTACTAATGTGATTTTCTGCCACACAATGAAAGCTATGTAAATCTTTTTTGGTGCAAATGTTACATTTTTACAAACACTTTATGGAACACACCCTAATACGAATTTCTAAGATCATTTCCAAAATTTAGCAATTAGGTTATATGATAGTTTAGCACTATTGCATTTTGTTCTCAAATTTGTGTTGCGTTAGTTTTACTTAAAAATAAAAAGAAATATTTCTCATATTTTTGATATATTTTTATATTTTACAATGCTATTTTAATACAAAATAAATTCATTCTTTTAAAAAATCTTAACTAAAAATGTACATGTTAAAAATTCCAGCTTAATCGTTATCACTTTTGTCTGTTTTCTCATGTGGTAAGTTTTTATAAAACTGGTGATACTGTAATGGTAAGGCCTTTTTGCTACAAAGTTCCATAAGACCATTGTACTTTTTTTTGGAAATCGGCAACGGCCGATCATACGCGCATTTTAATTTGATGTCCTTGAAACTAATCGTTGGTTTTCGTTGACGATGATCAACAAGGATTCGGTTGTAGTATTGTTGGGAGTAATCTGTCTTGAAGAATATTGTTTTTGGATGAGTCTTTTCAAAATGAATAATTTTAATTTGGTTCCAGTTTACCTTTTTTCCATCTACATCAATACTGTAGTTTTTCCCTGTATTGCCACAAAGGACCTTTATATCGTAAACATCTCTCTGTGTAACTTCATAAACCGCATATGGGGGAGACTTTTTCTTGGAGAGTGCTATTAGGGGAATCCACTGAGCAGGTACATTAATTATAGTATTATTGCTTTTAAGCATCCTCTTTTTTTCTTTTTCTATTGTGGAGTGCATACTGTCGCCCTCGTTTTGAGTGTGCCCTGTTATAAGGTATTTATGTGTGATAGAATGAATGTGTTTCCACTTATTTAAGGCATAAAGATAGGTAGCAGCTATAAACTTATTTTTGTTCTGACCACAGCAGTTATCTGAGTAAAATATCATACTATGGTATGTCGTGCAAAAGTTAGACAAAAAATGTAAAACAAAACTACCTATTTCGTTTGCACCTCTCTTAGCGATGGTTTCATCCCACACATAACAATATCCTAGTTTCTTAACAATATTAAAAAATGTTAAATTTAATGTTGACAACTTACTTTTGTAGAAAAAGTCGGAGGTTGTTCCACATGGAGAAGGCAACACTGCTTGCAAATCATATACGGCAACAAGGACAGAAGGATCTAAGCTAGCTGCCTGTATATCCTTTTTCTTTTCCTCGCGGCTTAGATTTTTCTGTTCATGGTGAGTTTTGTACACCCTTTCCATGTCTTCCTTTTCTTTAACAGTAGAATTAATGAAAGCCGTACATAAACTGCACTGGTCCTTTTTAGGACTGTGAAACCCAATATTATACTCGTAATTAAATATACGGGCATAATGAAAGTATTTTACGTAGGGCTTGTTGTCAGTAATGCATTTTTCAGTGTACAATCGATAAAGTGTGCTTAAATTAAGGCTACCGTCAAAGAACTTTCTCTTTGTTTGAGCACGTAAATAGTGAGACTCTACTGTCGGTATTGACTCGATATGTTCTTTAACTCCCGTTACTAGATATTCACTAATTTTATTCTTCTTGGAATGTTTACCCCTATTATCATCTTTAAGAACTCCATTTTTTGTTTTCTTTATTGCGGTTCTTATCATCATGTCACTAATATTGAGGGTTTCATTGAAAAATTTCTTGCAAACTCTAATTTGTTTAGAAGCAACGGAAAAGTGATATGCGTTGTTCTTCTTTCGGTGACTATTTGGCTTTGGGTATCTGTATTTTGGTTCGATAGGTGTAATGTGTCTGAGTATGAACTCCCTTTGTCTAGTAATATCACCCAATTGCCAAAAGGATGTTAAAATGCGCTGACGTTCTTCAGTGGATAGATTTTCGCGGCACTTAAAAGCACATTTTTCATTACAACCACTACCTAACTTTCTTTTTTGCTTGTTTTTTCCAGTGGACGATTTATATTCTTCTCCATGGTTATGCTTGTATTTTCTAATATTTCGTTTCCATTTTTCTGGTTGTTGTTTTTTTTTTCTACTGCATAGGCCCTTCTCACCTTCATCAGTAGCCTCTGAAATTTCTTTCCCCTCACCTTTTTCAATAACTTCCGTATTTGCATCAACAATCCCCTCAATGCCAGTTTCTTCTTGCATTAATTGTGTGCTGCCATTATTATCGAGATTATCATTTCCCTTTTGTACTACTATATCTTGTAATATTTTGATCGTACGTTCTTGTGGAATTTCAGAGTACTCCGTGGAACAGGATGCACTAGGTAACAGTGTGAAGTGTTGTGAATGGGCAAAGAACGGCTGTAAACTTATAAAACCAGCATTTTCATTTTCTATAGCTGTAGACTGCTCATACAACTTCACAGGTGTTAGTTCGGCATATACGGGTTCATACTACATTTACCGCAATGAAGGTATAAGTTTCACTAAATTGAGAAATAAAACTTACCTTTGGACTATCCTGATTGCAAATAGACTCCTTACAGTCGAATGTTCCATCTGGACCCAACTGAAGAACAGAGATATGAGTTGATACAATTTACAATGATAAATAAGCTAGGTACCTTATTTTGGATATCTGAACATTTGCTATTATCGGAGCTCTCCCCCAATTTAGCGTTTAACTCCACAAATTCACTTTCCTTTAGCGCCAAACTTACTAATAATTTCCCGCGAGACATAATTTAAACGTCCTTTATCTTAATAAACATGAACGGAAATGAAATAAAGTTTGAGAAACAAAATGATTTCGTTGCATAAAAAAGGCGCGTTTGAGTTGCGATATTACGTTTACAACGCGCAAGACAAAACACAAGATTAAAAGTATCGTAACTCAAAAGTGATAGTATTGCACAAAACGTCTCTTACTTTTTTTGTGATGCTAAAGTATTTTAAATGCTATATAGGCTTGTTTGAGAACATTTTTAGTTACGATACTTTAACACATCATAGATTACACTTTTTGAGAGGCACTTGCTAGAAAAACAACAAAAAAATTTTTTTTTTTACTTATGATACTCTTGGCACTCAATAAGTCGCCGATATAAGGATCTGGTAATTTTAGGCACATTAATGACTCGGTAATTAATTTTCAGATTTAATGTTAGAATGCGGACTTTCATTATATAAAGTAAATTACTAATTGGTAGGGTGGGTACCATTGAAATAAGCCCTAAGAAGTAGTATACCATTGAATAAGACGGTGCCGGTTTAGTATGCGGTCTACCTTACAGACAGCGGTCTACACCCTATCAATCTGAATGTAGTATGCGGTCTACCCTTTTACATTGGAATATTCGTCAGGTATTTCAAAAAAATAAAGCACATTTCAACCACACTCTTTTTAGTGATCCATGATGATCATTAGACAATCACCCATAATTGCATTTTTGCAATAAATTGCGGTCTGCTATCCCATTAATGGCCCATTATTGCTAATTACAATTACTTAATGGATAAGTATTAAGTAGCCCCATGTATATAAGCTGGTCAAAATCTCCCCATATTTTAGTTCATAACTATCCGTTGCTGCTCGTATTGCTGGCACTCAACATGTTACTTCGCGAATTTTATTTGAACGTGGGGTCTTCGCAAGAGACGGCAACTAATTTTTTGAGACAATATAATCTGTTGGACGCTGTAGAAGATGCTGCAAATTGTCATCGATGTGGCTCGACGATGCAAGAAAAACGAAGAAGAGATCGTGGAGGAGAATTCAGGCCAATATTGCGCTGTCCAAGGAAAGGCTGTCAAACCACACGGTCGGTGCGGAATGGAAATACATTTTTCCATTACAACGATTTAAATGGGAGGATTAACAGTAAGTTGTCGCTGGTCCAAAGATTAGAATTGATCTTTCTTTTCTTATTGGACATTCCAATCGATTCCGTCGTTAGTCTTACCGGTCGTTCCAACGCTACCGTGATCGATTGGTTCAACATGTGTAGAGAGGTATGCAGTTCGATGGTATCATACACTACAAATGGTCGATTAACTGGAACACGTGAAGACCCGGTGCAAATAGATGAAGCCCGTTTTGCCGGTCGCAGAAAATACGGTAGAGGAAGAATGTTGCAGGGCGATGCACCTACAGAATCAGAAGAGTCTGATGATGACATCCACAATAATCGTAACCATGGACGACGTATCGATGGGCCATGGGTGTTTGGTTTGAGGAATATTAACGAAACTCGTTATTTTTATGTGGCAAGACGAGATGCAGAAACATTGCTCCCAATAATTCAAAGAGAAGTTGAAATGGGATCGGTTATCCACTCTGACGAATGGCCTGCATATCGCAGGTTAACATAACTGGGCTATGACCACCAAACAGTAAATCATCAAGAGAACTACGTTAATCCAGAGACTGGAGCTCATACACAGGGAATTGAGCGGAGTTGGCTAGACGCCAAAATAAAAATAATGAAAAAGATGAGAGGAGTGTCCATCCAACATTTCCAGTCCCACTTGGATTATGTTTGTTGGCAGATTTTGAATAAAAACGTATGTTCATGCAAGAATAACTATTTTTTTTTCTCTCTATAATTCAATAATTCAAAATGAATGTTATTTTGATATATCAAAACGATTCGGTTATGGGTAATGGTACCCAAAATTCTTGACGTATATCCGTGTGCGTGCGGTGCGCAAGAACGAACCTACCATGTTTGAACAATAGAAGATACATACAAGACAGACGACATATCGTGCGCGCATAGTTACATTTGTGACAAGACTGGGGCCCCATTTACAACATCGTCAAACCTTAAGGTAGGTGCCAAACCCGATCATAATTGACATCGTTTATTTGTTAATTTGTTATAAATTTTCTACATGTTGGGCAACAGACATTTTTACAGTCCATTAACAATTATTCTTGTTGCACTAACAACGTAGATGATCTGTTTATAAAATTTTTAGACGACATTAGGCAAGTTTATCGCGAATGAATAAGTATATGTAATAATAAAAGTTGACAATGAATATAATGTGTATAGGATGTAATTGTTGATATTGAATACAATTTTCGTAATTCTGATGAGTACTTTTATTTACCTGTAACACCTTTAATATAGTCTAGGAACATACTACATCGCACACTACATTCAATTAGTTGAGGTAGACTGTCAGCAAGATGGTAGACCGCATACTAAATTCAATTTGGATTGGTAGACCGCATACTAAACCGGCACCGGCACAAAACTTAAAAATGGATTTCGCAGGAGCTTAAGTCAAACGTGACGTATAAAAGAAAGATCACTACATCAATAATAAATAATTCAATTTCAATGTTATTATGTCAACAACAAACTACATACATAGATAACAAAAAAAATTGATGCAAATTTCTAATTACATTCGCTTCAATAAAACGGACTAAAGTCTGTCTAAAATTGACGGGAAGTAATAAATTATAAATTGGTGAAATAGAAATAGTATTTTTGTATGGAAGTGCTTCTCTGTCTCTGTCTAACAAGTAAATTTATTACTTCGCGTCAATTTTAGACAGACTATAGGTACCGAAAGACTCGTTGCAAAAACATAAAATAAAATAAAGATACTTTTCGATATAACAAAGAAAAATATGACAACACTAACTCTGATAAACAAGGAAAACAAAGGACCCCTAAGTATAACTGGTTTCCCTGTTTAAAATAGGCATTTTTTACCGCCCGAGGCCAAATATCCTTCAATAGTAATTAACCACTTTGCAGTGTATGCAACACACCTTACACCAATTTCAGGTTTTCCTATGTAGTTATACTTCTTTAAGGTGCTTATTCAACGCTATAGTATCTATTATGACTGATGATGATTACTTCACTCATTGGAAAAATAAAACTCAAAAATTATTAAACTATGTTCGTGATACCAACAAGAAGAAGTCAAGTGATGGATATCGATATTTTTATTCATGTCACAGAACGTATGCTTCTGGACTGGATCCTAATCTAATAAAAGTGAAGTCAAAAGGAAGTGGTACTAATAAAATAGGAGGTGCATGCCCTTCAAGGCTTATTGTAACAATTAGAAATGAAAGGGTTTTCACCATTTTTTATCCTGACGTTGGACACACTTGTGAAGTTGGTGGATTACTACTCGATGAAGAGGATAGAAATAAACTAGCTGGTAACAATATTTTTAAATTCTTATGTAGCAATATTTGATTAAATAACTTAAGGTCCAATCATATCTAAACATATCTATCTAGAAGGGAAAAAATGCAAACGGCTGGATAAGACCATTAATGCTTTAATAAACCTTGTTAGGGACAAAATGTTTGAGCGGATTATTAAATTTTCAAAGTATAAAGTGACTAATAAAATAAAGCGAATTAGAGACGGCCATAATCGTGGAAGTTGCATTCCTTTGGAATTGTTAAAACAGTGTGATGATAAATGGTTAGTGGTGCCTTCACAAGAATCCATTCCAGTCATGACTATGTTTTAGAACACAATAGCGGTGAATGTAAATACTCCTGTGAACTTAAGTGTAGTACCTATATGTAAAATTTGTGTACATACGTTTAGATTTAGTTGTTTGGACAATGTTATAAACTTTAATATTTGTAAACATATTCACGCGGTTTGTATCCACTTTTATAGGCCACCAGATACAGGTTGTGAGAATGAAATTTTTGGTGATGTACAAGAGGGACATGTGTAACGTTTTCTATAAGCAGTTACAGGTTTTATAAATACTGCAAAAGTAATTTAATAGAGGTCAGCATATGAATATGAATGCAATTTTAAAATTTATCTTTTATCTAACATTCTTGACCAAGGGGTCAAGATAGAGACATTTTGAAATAGGGCGAGGCTGGTGGTCAGTTTTTGAGCTGAGTATTTGTTTTAAAATAAACTTTATACCACTGGTGAGTACAATCTCCGATCACTTTTTTATTAAGACCCATTAATCCATAGGCTGCTTCCCTATTTTCTCTTATTCTGAAAAAGAATAACGCATCACAATTGGATAATTAATGAGGTGATCATACTTCCACCTAACGAGCCCATCTGGTAGCGTCGCGTGGAGAAACCCCGGCTTGGACCACCTTTTTGCACTGCCGTATTTGCACCAGTTAAATAGCTCCGAAAACAAGGTCAGACTAAGTTTAATTACTGTTCCGTCGTGAAGCATGTCGGCGACAAGTCTATACCAGCATTAAGCATAGTGGGCAAGGCGATTACCCTTTAGATCTGAAACCAAAATACCTACTCGTTAGCCAGACTCGAGGTTACAAATTGTACTTACCGGTAGGAATCCATAGCTGCACCGCTGCAGGTGTAATCACCCGTTCGACTTTTAACTTAATCTATTTATAATAAATAAAACTTAATTAGCGTAGCACTTCATGCTTGTTTAATTTTTCACTTGCTAAATGATAAATACATTGTGACTACTTTAATGTTTATTAGCACTACCAATACAGCAATTGTTATATACCGGGTAGGTGCTGAGCGATTTGAGTGTTTGGTAATCAGTTTCATAAAGACAAAAGGGAACTGCGTAAGTACCTATTTACCGCATTTAACGTCACTGAGCATTTGTTAACTTACCTAAGATCGCTACCCCAATAAGGCCATATTCCGTTAGCCGTCCAATTTTAATTGTCGAGCGTCAGACTGCAAATCACTTGTGTGAGATCTGTATTTCAAACTATATCCTTGCGAGGTTGTTACCTTATTAGTTACTAACTATTCAAGCCGTGATGTCCCTCCTGTACCTAATTATAAAAAAAATGTCAAAGCCTGTGACTATTGCCTAACTTTAATATACGAACCGTTTAGTGTGACTGGTTAGTTTATTGCCCCAGCCGAGTACCCACGACCCCTGCCTCCTATATTCGAGCTGCCTCCTTTGGCAATTTGTGCCGTTGTTGCACGAGGCAACGTAGGTCACACATCAAGTGAAGATTTTAGATGCTATACAAAATGTTGCAGTTTCCTCAAAAGTTAGTGATAGTGAAATCCAACAAACTATATTCAAAATTAGAGATACTTTTAGGTTTAAATAAGAAGATTAGTTTAGAGACAATCAAAATCGCTTATTGGCAAATAGATAATTTAGATAAGGTCATTAATATTTTTAACAATCCAGCAAAAATAGAATATAATCAACAAGAACAGATCAATGTCCAAGAAAACATTGAACCTCAGATTATATTTTTTGGTTCTCAGAAACGAAAACGGAAAGCTGAAATTTGTTATGCTTTTGGTTCAGAAGAACAAATGATTAAAAGTGCTCTTATGGAAGAAGATGGCAGTGTTATTAACATTAATACAAGCTTTGATCACAAATATACCTCCAATGATGTTTAAATTTATTTTTCATGTGTGTTGTATTACTTATAGCTGGTATATAGGTAGCCTGTAGGCGAATTATTTTATGTAAGCAAGACATTTGTATGCTCACTGATCATCCCATAGTAACATATGTATATCCAGTGCCAAAGCAAAGGATCGATCAGTTAACGTTAAGGGCTCATACCACAATTCAATGTTGTCAGTAGTTAGGATTTTTCCTGCCTTTCCAGAGCTGCTTGTTGATATAAGGTCGCCCGCTGCTACCTGTTTTTAGTTTTAAATTAAATTTAAATTTGTGCTAATGGCAATGAATTGTAAACTGCTAAAGTTATTGTGATCTAAATATGTTTCTCTACGACTATTAAATAATGCTCTGATTCTTGCTGCGTATTGAATTTAATAATAGTATACATTCTTCACACCGTGATTTCTTACAGAGAAATCACTCTCAATTAGGCAATCACATACTTTGATTTTCATAATTCACGGTAGGGGAGACCGGGGTTGGTTGGGCACAGGGGTTGGTTGGTACGATCGGAAAATTCCGGAATCTGGTCGGTGGCAGCCATAATTTTCCGAAGGTCTCGAACAGGCGTTAGTTGACAACAAGCCTCGTTGATGTGCGACGGTTGGTTGTGTGTTAAATTTGGTGTACGTGACTTTCCTACCCGTAAGTAAATATTTGGTACTTCGGAATATTTGTAATATCAGCATTATAATTATATCGTTCATTACAGAGTATATATATTAAGAAATTTGGCGCTCTTTGCTATCATTTTAAAATATCGAAACCTTTTTTAGGTTACTCTGAGCAACAGTTTTGGCATTTTTATCTAAAAATATGAACTGGGGATGGTTGGTACAAACTGTAAGGGGCCGATTGGTACAGTGTACCAACCAACCCCGTCAGAACTATATTTCTATTTTTTTTTCGTTGTGCTTCCAACTGGATTTTTTTAGGCAATCTTCAGTATGCGAACGTTTAAAAGGAAGTCTGAAAGAGGCAAAACTTCGCCAGATGTGATGCTAAGAGCTGTTAGAGCAGTAAAACTCCAAAGACAATCTTTAAGGTCAGCGGCCAGTGACTTCAATATTCCATTTAACACTTTACGAAGATATTGCAGTTTAGGCGACTACGTTTTTGAATATTTTTAATAAGAACAATAAATTTACAATAATATCAAGAAAAACTGAACAATCATTTTAACACGAAAAAAGTCAAACTCGCCATCTTCTTCTCTAACACATGCTCGTGTCGTAGTCCAAGTAACGGTCGCTTCGGCGCACTAATCGTCCGGAGCGGGTTGCCAGGGCCGGACTCCCACAGCTCGGCCCTTCCTGACCTTGCATTGCCTCAATGCAATCCGATTGTTGACCATCAAGGGATTCGTGATTATCGGGGAATTCGTCATCATCAGATTCTTCACTCGTAGTCTCTTCTTCATATAGTACGGAAGAATGGGTAGTAGTGAGTTACTATGCGTGAAAAAGTTTGGCCCCCCATTCAGCATTGTTGTTTGGGTACATTTAACTAATTTTGGAAGGGGGGCCAAACTTTTCGCCCGTAACTTCCGGCTTTATGACGTCATCAAATTGGAGCTTCCGTTACACGGGAATATTGGCGTATCTCCATAACTACTGGTCCGATTCTTGTCATCTTAGGCTCTTTGGAAAGATAATAAAAAACGGAACTATTATATTAGAACACTTCTTTACGCTAAAGACCACCGTTACCAAGATATGAACAAAAAACGTGCCGAGCAGGCAAATTTTAAGTACTTATTGGGAATTAGTGGAGGAATCGTTAGATATAATAGGTAATCATTTATTGAAATGAAATATAGTACATTTTCTACCCTTTTTAACGCGTCTAATTACAAGAACCTTAGATATAATTAAGTACTGTATAATTTCCACGCTAATTTTGAGTACAGTTGCACTTGCAAAGGTCCGTACAGTTCAGTAACTTCTTTTTACAGCTGCATGCTTTGGCACAGGTTCTTTTACAACCGCAGCTGGTCATTTCCCGACAAGCTTTACTAACCGGCGGGGTCGTCATCCACACGGGGAGAAGCCTTTGGTCTTCCTTCCTCC